TGAAAAGCTAGAAGGTTCAGGGTAGGACAGGGGTATGGCAGGGCTAAAGAGGCCATTAAGAGGTGAAGAAGCCACCCATGCCAATACACAGCAGACATGACGAGCCTGTTTGTGGCTAGAGAGGCTCATCATGTCAGCTGCGTATTGACAGGGTTAGGTTATAAGAGGTGGTAGGCGGATGGTAGGCGAGACGAAAAAAATCCAAGATGTTGGGCAGGTGAGGAGGCAGGTGAGAGGCTAGGTGAAAGGCTAGTTGAGAGGCTAGGTGAGGAGGCAGGTGAGAGGCCAGGTGAGGAGGCAGGCGAGAGGCTAGTAGTATTACCGACACTTTTGAGTCCACCGATATCCGAAACTACTGTGTTGCCAATTAAATGTAAATATAAATATGAAAAAATCCTTTCTGTAATCTTCATACCCTGCTTCAACTTTGAGGCCCAAAAGCAGTGAGATTGAATCAGGGGCTCAATAGATATGGATTTAAACAGTCTAGCCCCTAAAACCAGACTGTGTAAAGCACAGTCTGGGTTTTGGGAACCAAATCCGAAGTTGCACACAATTCTGTCTGATTCAATAGGCTTAAAATGTATTTGTCATGGTACCCTAATATTTTCATTAGTAGACATGGAGTACTAAAGATGTTACAGGCAAAATACAGAATTGAGGGAAAACCTCAAAAAACCGAGTCTCCAGTCCACAATTCTAACCTGAAAAGCTAGAAGGTTCAGGGTAGGACAGGGGTATGGCAGGGCTAAAGAGGCCATTAAGCCGCGTATCAGCTTGGCTGAGTCTTGATACACCACTGACATGACGAGCCTGTCCGCGGCTGGAGAGGCTCGTCATGTCAGCCGCGTATTGACAGGGATGAGTCCCGATACGCGGCTGACATGACGAGCCTCGCTGCGGCTGGAGAGGCTCGTCATGTCAGCCGCGTATCAGGATTCCGCTGTGCCAACAAGCAGCTGACATGATTACTCGTCACAGCTCAGAAATTAAATTGTCACATGTAATAATTATATTTATTCAATTGAGAAGAATAGTAATAATACAATTTGTGACAATCGATGCATGTGTCAACCGCTATTGCTTTCGCTCTTGACCTCGTACCACGATCATCTCCACCCTCGCCTCCACTTACATCTCATATCATGCGCTCTGCAAAGTCCATGGGCAAGAAGAAGGTTCAGCAGGTGAGTCCTGCTCCATCTCAGAATATGCTAGACTGATCAACTCTTGCTTGTACAGCTGGACGACTCCATACTTGCTAACCTCGATGCTGGAGAGGTCATTCTCGACGAGCACCGCACCAACGAGAAGCAGGCTGAGGAGGCTCTCCTTGGCTATGCAAAATTCCCCCTTTTCGGTCGTAACTCAGTGTCCCTCCACTTTGGACGATGGAACACTCGCCCTGTGTCCCCTGACATGGTCCGCAAGCTCAAAGAGAGCATGCAAAAGCAAGGGGTCCGCTGGTGGGCATTTCCAATGCCCATTGCTATCAAGCGTGAATGGATCGATGTCGGTGAGCTCGCAACGACGCAAGATGCAGGCGCCAATCTCCCCCTCCTCGTCCTCACGAAAGCCGGCCGAGATCAAGTGATGGAGGGCCTTGGCGGAAGGCACAGGCGTTCTGCGGTCGAGTCGTTGATGCACGACATTCAAGAAGAGTTGGCCAAGCTGGAGCGCCAGATAGAACGCACCAAAAATGTTGAGATGGCAGTCGAGTTGACGTCCCAAAAGGACAAGCTTCAGAAGGAGCTGGATGGCCTTGAGTATTGGGGTGGGCAGTTTTATGACATCGGTGAGCAACAGATTCTTCTCAACGTCGTAAACCGGATTCTAACCTTGCTCTTAGATAAAGTCACTGCTTCCGAGTCATTGGCAGAATTTTTATCTCGGAACGAAGACTTGCCGAAGATGAAGGAGACGGTTGAAGAAGGGCTCGTTCTCGACTATGTCAAACTACTCGAGGCGCAGAAGAAGGACTGGGAGTTGCGATCCACAAGTGAAGTGAACTTTACAAAGGTTCTGGATGACATCTTGATGCGACATCCGTCGAGCGATCGCAAACATATCTTGTTCCGACGTCCGGTCATCCGCAACTTCCTCTTGATCATTTACAGTCTTCCGTATTTCCGCTCATTCAAGATGCTCAAAGTGAGTTGGATGAGAGAGCACCTCGTTCAAGTGCATGGCAATGTGAGTACCTAGAAATTTGGCCGGTCACGCGTTGCTTACTGGTTCATAGATGTTCATGTCCTTAGTGAAGGAGGCCCTCGAGGATCTCACCGACATTGTGCAGATTTGCGAGTTTGAGACGACGTTTGACGAAGTGGTCTCGTGGGACCATTTCACGAACGAGCAGAATCATCTGGAGCAGGATCCGACTGACGTTGCAGAGTTTCAGGGCTGGTTGTACTCTCTGAAGCCCCCGCGGAAGCACTGCGTGGCTTGCGAACTGTCCATGCTGACCGAGGGCCTGCTGCAGGAGATCGACAGGATCTATGTTGAGGAGTTGCGCGCATCGAGCTCAGAGATTTACACCATACAGCAAGTGCGAAGTGATGCATGGGACCGATACCGGAATCGTGTCTGCGATGCAATACGATCCGCGTGGAAGGCGATTCCGAGCGACGAGACTAATCGCGGACTGGTAGCAACTCATGGTGTTGCGAAGGCCCGATGGATATTGACGCCATGGGCTAAAGATGCCTGTATCTTTCCGTTGATGACGCAGAGCGTGATCGAGGACTTGCACAAGGAACTGCAACTCGTTCCCAACGCACTTCAAGAAGTAAGTACATACAGTTCATTCAGCTCTGGTAAACACGACGAGTCTGTCTGCGACTAGAGAGGCTCGTCATGTCAGACGCGTATCAGGACTCAGCCCTGTCAATACGCGGCTGACATGACGAGCCTCTCTAGTCGCAGACAGGCTCGTCGTGTCAACCGTGTATTGGGCTACTTGATTCTAACCTGACAAGCTATAAGGTTCAGGCTAGGACAGGTGTATGGTAGGGCTAATAAGGCCATTAAAAGGTGAAGAAGCCACTCATGCCAATACAAGGCTGACATGATGAGCCTGTCCGTGGCTGGAGAGGCTCGTAATGTCAGCCG